GCCAAGTGGGGAAGCAGGGAACGGAGTCTGGCCTTGAGTTTTCTCTGAGTGAAATAGCTCAACCTCCTCAGAACTCAGTACCACACACAGTGACACACAGTCTCACACACAGTGACACACATGAACACATGTGTGCATACACAGTCACAGCTACAAAGACACATTGTCCATTGCCATAAAGCCAGATAGCCAATCGCCATCACCCACTGTCACCCACTATCATCACAGTGTCCGCACAGAGACACGGTCACATTTGGTTACCAGTCATGCGTATCTGGTTGGTTACATAACACCATCTCATAGCCACACGGAATTTCACAGACTCACAAATACAGTTTCTCAGTCACACCAACAACCAATCATATTCCTCCTTTCCCTCTCAGACACATGGGCACATGAAGTGTCACCAGTTACAACTGGTCTGGCCAGTTCTGTTTAGTCCTGGACCACACACACCATCGCTGGCATGGTCTGCCTAATCCACAGCCATAGCGACCCAGTCAAACGTGAAGGTCCAAAGAACCATCACACACACATATCCCGTCAGTCCTATTTACTGCTGTTGCTATACCGTCAGCCACAGGCCCTCAGTCACGTGGAGTCACACATCGCATCATAGGACACACACTATCACATACAATGTGCAAGGTTATACTCACACACGGCCCGACTCCTGTTCCTAGTATGTTGTGGTTTTACAGACACTCCCAGACTCTCAGTCCATGGCAACAATCAGTCACAGGTTAAACACACCTTCACACCCAACTACACCAGTGCAGACACACCCTGCATGCCCAGCCCAGCCAAGCCGGGGTGGTTGCCTCACCTCCTGACAGGTGTCTAGTAACATGACATCATACTTGTCCAAGTCCTCTTGGCCAAAGAACACCACTTCCGTGAGGACCAGGCCGCCTGAGGGGCTGGAACACTCAAACAGTCGAGGCTGGATGCCGGAGACCTCTGGAAGCCTGGCCAGAGGAGGGGCTGTGAGGGGTGCAGCTGGGCCACACTGGCCCTCGGCATGGGTGCCCCCACCCCCAGCTCAGGGAAAACAGCTTCTTTGCCAGGAGCCCTGGGCCTTCCACTGAACTCCACCCACCCCTTGACTTTGTGTAGGGCGCATGCTCTGGGCCAGGGTCCTTTTCTTTCAAGGGACAATTAGAGCAGGTGACTGAAAACCTGTCTGCCGCTCTATGGATTTATTAGGGTAGGCACTGGAGAAGGGGACCCCAGACCTAGTGGGGAGAAGCTGAGCTGAGGCCCTGCCCTCCCTAGAATGGGAGTCACCTGCACTCAGTTAAGTCAGGAACTAGCCTCGGGTACAGGGTGGAAGGAGGGAGCAAGTCTGGGGTGCCGTGGAATATTGGACGCTGTAAAGGTGTGTTGCTTTTGTTTCTGCTGCATTTGTTAATTATGTAAGGATTGATGCATTTGTTTCACCTTGCCTGCCTAAGGCACCTGATTGCTCTAATAAAATGCTGAAGGGCCAATAGTGAGGCAGGAGGAGAATGGGCGGGGTTGGTGGGCAGAGAGAAATCTAGGCTCAATGGAGAAGAGAGAGGAGAGAGGACGGAAGAGAGGGACATGCCTGGGGCCAGAAGCCAGGCAGCCAGACATGAGGATCCGGAGGGTAGGACAGACAGAAGGAAAGGTAAAAAGCCCCAAGGTAAAATGTAGACAAAGAGAAACAGATTAAAATAAGAGCAAAGCTGAGGCTGAGCACTCATAACTAATAACAAGTCTCCATGTCATGATTTGGGAGCTAGTTAGTGGCCCAAAAGAAAGTCTGCTCCATGGGAGCCCAGGAGACTTGGGTGGACGGCAGCGCCCAGGGACGCAGTTCCTTCCATCCTTGAGTTCTTACTCATCCCTTGTCCACTTACCCCACGGTTTGGGATTGCCCGTGGAGGCATTGCAGGAAGTGGACTCTGCCAGCAGAGGGTGCCATTTCTCCCTGTCTGCCCTGGCATGCCCCCATCCAAGTTACCAAGGGCTGGAGATTGCAGATGGAGGGGACCCAGAGTCCCTCAGTTCCAGGCTTATCTTTCCAGCTCACTCTGTGACTAGTCACCCACCTCCGGGCCTCAGTTCCCCCTCAAGATAAACATGCTCTGCAATCCTGTTACCTCTTGTTGCTGGGATAGGGAGCCCGGCCTCCGAGGGCTTCCCAGAAGTGGGGTGGCTCCTGACCCTCCAGCACCGTTTCCATGTCATTTCCTGGGAAGACAGCGGCCACCACCCGTGCCCTCTCACGCTGGTCCCCGCTGCAGCTCTGCCAAGCAGAGGCTGGGTCAAACCCTGCAGCAGGCAGGCCTCCGCCTCCAGTCCCATGTCCATCCACTGGGGCCCGTGGGGAGCTGGACCTGAGCCAAGGGAGGCCTAAGCTGTGGGCAAGGCCCCTGTGAGCAAGGTATCTCCCTTCAGTTCCTCAGCTGTGACCCTGTGACCCTCTCTAGGCCCAGAGCATGGATGAGGGACACCAAGGCTTGGGGGGTCATTTGCGGTTTATGCTAAAGATGAGGAAACAACAAAACCCACAAGCAAACCGAGACTAGGTGCTGTGGGACCATGCTTTGAACAGTTTTAATTAATGTAAGCCTCTGTGTGTTTACTTCAGTCTGAGCGGCTGCGGACCGGGTGGGATACAGAAAAACTTTCTGCTACAACTAGGCCTCTCCCTTCCCCAGAGAGACTTGGGAAAAGTCCCAAGCAGAAGGGAGGCAGTCAGAGCCAGGCTCGCCTCTGACCTGAGGAACCCCAGTCCACTTGTGACTTTGTAACTTCCCCTAGCTCTATCAGGGTCCCTGGACCACTTCACACCACCCACAGAACCAGCCCACTGGAGGGGACCCATCTCTGACCTCGCCACCTTCCCAAGTGGAGACTCACTGGTACCTTCCCAAACCAGAGGTAGCAGACGTCAGCTGTGACCAGAAAGAAGATGTCGCTGGAGATGAGGGAGGAGGCACGGGCTTGCACCTCCATGGTTCTGGTGTTGTGGCTGTCGGTCCCTTGCACGTGGAACAGCCTTGGGCTGGATGTCGGCGGTCCCTTTCCTCTGTTGCCTGCACACCCCTAGAAGAAGGTGGGGCGTCAGGTGGAGGCAAGGGCCCCCGGGGGCCACCTCTCTGTCCTAGTAGTGAGCAGGACTAAGGCTACCACTGTCCTCTGGCCCTTTGAGTGTGGACTGTGGCAGTCCTGTCTGCATAGGACACTGAAACAGACCCTTCAAATTAGACCTGTCACACATCTCAGAGGGCCCAGAGCAGGCTCCTGCCACCAAGGTGTGCCATCTCCTCTAGGCACAGAATCAACAGAGCCAGGGATTATGAGACCTCTGAAATGGACCCAGAATGAATCCTTCCTCTCTGGAGTGGCTTTGTTAGATAGATGATGATGATGATGATGATGATGATGATGATGGTGGTTGTGATGGTGGTGGTGGTGATGGTGGTGGTGGTGGTGGTGATGATGATGATGATGATAATGAGAGTGTGCATATGCATGTGTGCTCATGAAGGCCCTAGGATGTCAAGTGTCATTCTCAGGAGTGCTGTCCACCTCCTTTGAGATAAAGTCTCTCATTAGTCTGGAGCCCACCAAGTAGGCTCCACTGGCTGGCCATCAAGGCCCAGGAATCCTCCTGTGTCCGCTTCCCAGGCTAGGATCACAGGCTGCAGCATCCTACCCAGCATCTTTATGTGGGTGCTGGAGTCACACTCAAGCTTGCAAGGCTAACACCTTACCAGTGGAGGCGCCTCTCCAGCCCCCGTGTCAAAGGGATGAAAGGTCCAACATGGGCTCTACCTGGAAGACCACCAGCTGCCCCTGGAAGATGGCTAGGAAGTGGGGGGGCTCTCTGCCCATGGTGACATGTTCCTGCACCAGTGCTCCCTGGTACATGAGGTCCAACTCCTCAGCATTGAGGTTCAGGGCCTTGGTGTCTTCTATGGTGGTCTGGTGGCCCTGCAGCAGGGAGGGGACAATAATTTGTCCTGGGGTTTCCTATTCCGTTCTTAGATTCCAGGTCTCGTGCTGGACAGCATGACACCCCAGCAGGGGGACATACCTGCCATAGGTACAAGATGTACCGGACACGGCCAAGTTTCTGGTAGGTGTAGAGGGCAAGGTAGCAGTTTCCTGAGCACAACTGTCCATGGTGCCTGGGGTCCACAGGCTGCCTTTGTAAGTCCTGGATGCACCACACCTGAGGAGCAAGGGACCCACGGGCACAGATGACCCTTCCCGGTAGCAGCCTGCGCACCTGCATGCAGCCGGAAAGCTCTCATTGGCTCATCGGGGCCTTCCGTACTTCACACCGGACCTGGGAGTGACCTTTCCCCCACAGGCCTCAGTAGCCCACGCCTTCGCTGGCCGCTCTCAGCCCACCTTTAGCTTGCATTCTGCACCCAGGAAAGTAGGTGAAAGGCTAGAGGTTGTGAGATGGATCCAGCTCCTGGCCCATGGCTACCCCTGTCCTAGACCCTGCTAGCTACAGCCCTGGTTAGGGCAGACAGCAGCCCTCCCCCACACACAGAGCTGCGCTGTTCAGTCGAGGAAAGCAGAAGCAAGGCTGGAAGAGAGGTGTCGGCACTCTGGAGGGGAAAATTCCTTTTTTCCTTGAAGTATCATTAACAACAACAACACAACCCTCAAACAAAACAAAAACAATCCCATAAATGAACAAAAACCAGGGCTGGCGGTGTGACCCAGCTGGTCAAGTGCTTGTCCAGCATGCACAATGTCTTAGAACCCCCCAAAACAGGGGTTCCCCCTGTAATCATGGCATTAGGGAGGTGAGGTGGAAGAATCAGAAGTTCAAGGTCAGCCTTGACTACATATCAAGTTTGAGGCCAGCTTTGGGATATGTGAGACCCTGTCTAATAAAACAAACAAAAAGCCAACGCCTGCCTCCTCAAAGGCTGAAATGACAGTGCTTGCCCACATTTGTCCTAGTGACGGCTTGTTACTATGGAAGCCACACCTCAGCTTTAGAACCAGACAGAACTGGTGGAAGTTCAGGTCTGTGCAGGTTGGCATGTGACCTGCAAGCTGGGGATCACAGTGCCAAGCTCATTCATTGCACATCAGCCGGCCTGGAACCAGTGCCTAGTGTCCGTTACCCACACCAACTGAGAGCTACACCAGGGGACTTGCCCTCTAGACCAGGCCATCAAAACCCCACGCTTTTCTGAAAAGGCTGCCAGGGACCAAAACTTCCCCAAAGGTACACCCACCCAGGAGCGAGGCCTCCCCACTTCCACAGGCCCCTCGACTGTGTGCTTGGAGCTGATCCCAGACACCCGTGCCCAGCTTCCTTGCCATCCTCCTCCCAGCTTTCACCCACCTGGTCCCCTTCCGTTACCTCTACTCATCCCCAAACGCCCTCTTTTCTCCTCAGCCTGGGTTTCCTCCATTACCCGGTCTCCGCTCCCCCCCTGCTCCCCAGTCTTCCCACCCACTCCCTCTGTCTTCTCTTCTCTCCATCTCTTCTCACCCATCACTCCTGGTCATTCACATAAGAGCAAACGTAGGCAGGACTTCCATTTTCTCTGCCTCAGCTTACCTACAGAATTTACACACACACACACACACACACACACACACACACACACACACACACACGCTCAGTAAGTAGCCTTGTTCCCTTGTTCCCATAGACTCACAGCATCTCCACATGAGCTTGGGAGCCAGTCTGGACCATAATCTCTGCTTCCATTTTATGGACTTAAAAACAGCCTTGAGGGAACTAAGGGTTCTTCCTTAACATGTCCAATAGGTCAGTATGAGAACACTGGTCTGAGGCCAGATGAGGGCTTCATGACAGTGTGTTAGGGGCTGTGATTTGAGTGACCGTGTACCTGTGTATGGTGGTGGTGGTGGTGGTGGGCTTCATGACAGTGTGTTAGGGGCTGTGATTTGAGTGACCGTGTACCTGTGTTGGCCACAGACAGGGCATGGTGCCTTGTCCAGGTGTTGTCAAGTTGCGTGTCTGTGAGGGAGTGACCATGGTGTTGTATGACTTGAGATGACTGTATGAGCAGTTGCTGGAGAGTGGGCATGTATGTTTCTATTTCCTTGAATACATCCCTGGTCGTGGGTGGGTGGGCACCACATGTTCCTGGGTCGTTTTTGTTGTTGAGACAGTGTCTCATGCAGTCGGACTGGCCTTGAACTCCTGATATTCTCTCCTCCAGAGCGCTGGGTTTCCAGGCCTGACCCCCTCCCCCCACTTCACTCCCGTCAACGGCTCTCTCTCCTTGTATGCACACTGCCAACCCCAAGCCGGTGCCCTCACCTCCACCTTCCCAGAGCCGTCATCCACCATTCTGAGCTGGGCCGCTAGCTCAGGCTGGGTGTGCAGCTTGCCCATGTCCGGCTTTGCCTGCATCAGCTTATCTGCATGGGGAGCTGAGAGTCAGTGACATTCTTCAGTGCCACTGGGCCCACTCACTGCTCACGCATCTCACAGGGTCTGGGGCACACCCTCTTCCTCCTCATCCTCAGGGGCCACACCTCCTTGCCTGTCCAGCCCCCTCCCCAGCAGCCTCAGGTTCCTTCCAGGTCTGTCCACCCCCAGGCTCCACCCCTGCACCCTTCCATCACTCACTCTTCCCTTTGTGTTTTTTCCCATCTCGCTCCTCCGACCACATCTGGAACAGCTGCTGGAAGGCTGTGGACTCTGCACCTTCATTCACCACCTCCACATTGGTGTAGTTTGGGTAGCCTTTGGCCTGGATGAAACCCTGGGACATGGCTCTGTTAAGCAGGCCTGTGGCTCAAGGGCTCTAGGCTGTGTTCAGCCCCAGGAACCCCCCCCCCCCCTGCCCCAACTGTGGCTCCCAGGACAGCCAAGCTCTGAGCTGTGTTAATTAACCAAACTCGAGACCCATTTAACAAGCTGGCTCTCTCACTACCGATTCTCCGAGGTCTCTCAGGAGAATTAATGGTCCCCTTAATCCAAGCTTGGTGAAGGGCTGGCCATGACATACCCTACAGTCCCATAAACCTCTGCTTCCCACACACAATGCAGAAGGCTCTCAGGCCTCAAGACAAGGCTATCCCGCACACATGACCTCTGGGGTGTCACACATCTTCTCTCCCACACAGTTTCCAGGGTAGACACACTCACTTCCTGACCCCAGGATAAAGATGTTCCAGGGGAGAGCTATTTCTTCCCTTAGACCCCAGGAGGACATCCTGTACCAGATCTGTCTTGCCTCCCTGTAGGGGCCCCAAGGCCTTACCACAGCCCTGTTGAATGCAGCCTTCTTGTCCTGGGGGCTGGACTTTCGTCCCTGCCACATGTAGATCTTGAAGCCACCCTGGTCCAGGAGATAGCAGCCCTAGGAAGAAGTGCAGTCTGGTCAGCAGGGACTGGGGTTGTGAGGGGGATGGGTGGGTACTCTGTCCAGGCTCCTTACTTCCTCTTGCAGGAGGTCCTGGGTCAGTGGTCGGGTGGCCAATTCCTGGACCACCAGGTCTGTTCCCTTCTCGCAGACACTGGGGGACAGGCATCCAGATGTGGACAGCTGGCCTCTTCCTGGCCTGATGCCATCCCAGAACCCTTGAACTCCTCTGGTTTCCCAGAGACTGAAGTCATGAGCTGTGAACTCAATTATTGTGACCTTGCTTGGGGCTTAGGTGGCTCCTTGACCCTCACAGGGCCTCAGTGTCCCCATCTGTACCATGGGCTTCTCATTGATGTTGCCACACACCATGCAAGAGTGCATGTCATGAGATACACAGGCATGGCCAATCCCAGCACCCCACATGTCCTACCCAGAGACCTTCCTGTTTTCACTCGAGGTTTCTGTAGAGATGCTGTGCTGTCTCCGTAACAGACACACAGCTGTGACCCTTTACTCTCCCATGCCCACCCCGTTCTGCTCACTGGTAGAGGCGGACGTTGGCCTTCTGCTGCTGACTAACACCGCTGCTGGGCGCGGAAGCACCCAGGCTGCCTGACCTGCAGCCCAGCACGGCCTCCATGATGTGCATGAGGTCTGTGGCTTTCTTCTCATCATCTACCACACCAATCTGGGCACGGCCACCACGCTCCCTATCCCTGAGGCTGCAAGTCAGGGTCAGCGCCTGCAGGAGAGGACCCAGCAGTCAAGGCTTCTTAGGAGTGGCCCCTCATTCCACACACAGCCCAGCCCGGGTCTTTCTTATCACTGCTTGGTACCCATAGGCACGGGGAGAGGGACAGGAAAGCTGGTGTCCTGTCACTCTAGTGTTCCCAGGTCTGCCACCAGTGGGACGTCTGAACTTTGCCTGTTGGATTGAGACAGAGAGTCCAGCTACCTCTTGGGGTGGCCAGATGACGGATACTTGGAGGGCTACCTCTCCCCAAGCCCTATACTCACAGCTCTTAGGGCAGACACTGACCCGTGATTTCTCAGAAATGCAGGTTTTAGGTCCGTTCCATTGGATCAGCACCTTGCCCAGGTCCAACAGGAAGATGCCCCCCTTATTAAAGCTGTTCCAGGACAAGGCCACCTTCCGTAGCCAGGAGAGAGATGTGGAAGAAAAAGGTGTCAGACCAGCAGCACCACAGACAGGGGGAGG